TCGTCCCACGTACGAACTAGCTCGTACAAGGACGACCTGAAATTCTGGCACGGATGGTAACACATTCTTGTCGAAGGTTTCGTCTCTACGGAAAGGCCGTCGCCCTTTCATTCTGAAATATGTAAGAAAGCGTACCAATTTTCTGCTCTGGATCTTAGCAAATATTCTTTAGCAAAAATTCTCTTCTTTCCTTCTGCATCTTTCACCAACACGACGCATTATTAATTAACCGTTCTCGCTCGCGTCGCTTCGTAAACGTACATTGGCAGGCGTAATCGTTTTTGGTCGGGGACATATTTTTCGATGTGCTACGCGTGCAAAAATTCCCGAATCCCTCTGTTACTTAGGGTATTTAATATTTAATGTTTAATATTTAATATTCTTTTCGCGCTCGAATCTTTGTCATTCGAGGGCTTTCAAGGGATCAATGAGAATATTCATGAGCCTTCTCTGGCGCATTATTTCCTCTTAAATTCTTCAGAATCTGATTTTACTGCAGGTTCAAAGGTAGAACTTTCCGCTGATCTTATCATTCACGATTCCGTCGATTCAGATAGTTCGCAGAATTAAAATTTCACGTTTCTTATTTAGATCGCTCGGATTTCTTAGATCAAAGTACCTTGGGCTTCGATAAAATTCGTTGTTCTTTATCTTCGGAAAGAGAAATCCTGTTCTGTGCAGCGATTGCCTCTCGTTCACACTACGTGGTGCGGTATCCTTTTGACAATAGCACATAAATGCGACATTTATTAGCACGTAAAAACAATTTATCCTCCTTTGGAACGAAGGCGAATTTGTAATCTCAGTCGCGATGCAAACTACTCTCCCCTCTCTCTCTCTCTCTCCTACTTTCTCATTTTTACGTGCAGCTTTACTAATAACCTCATTCAGAGAGTAAGTGCTAAAGCCTGTAATTCGTTCACGTTATTCTATTGTTCAGTTTCAATTACAAGCCAGAGGAAACAGATGTCTATTTCTTCTTTTCTGCTGTTATTTCTCGAAATATGGAAGTCCGTGGGAAAGAAATGGAACAGAAGATTAATAGGAACAGAAAACGAACGTTGCGTGTAAGGTATTGGAAGGTTGATGCGCACGTGGACTTTCGAAAATTGTAGATTATCGCGCTCGTATGACCCATAACTAAGCAAGTTTGTACCAATTGTACGTGTTCTCGCGTTTTTCCGGTTTCTATAATTTACTTCTATCGGCGTATTCGACGTTACAAGGCTTTTCCTCGCGAAAAGTCTGTTCTTTTTTTTCGTTTCATCGGACTTGATAATCGCAAGATCGTTAAAGGACTAGAGAGTTAGTTATCAAGTTGCAAGGTATTGGATAAGAGAAATATTCGTTAGAAATTTTAATTTCGTTCGGATAATTTCTAAAATTTACGGATGCTGACGAAAGCTGTCGTCTTATCTAAGCGTATCGGATATAATTTCCAAGATGGAGGAACGATTTGATGGTTCTAAAGCAGTTATATCGTAATCACTTCGGACTCTTACCAGACTCTATCGATGTTTACTTGGTGTTACTGGCGAAAAGCGCATTTCAATTTGAACGAAAGCTTGGTCCGCTGCTGGTCTACTTGTTATCGCGGTTTATTCATTCTCACTTAGTTTGCATTTCACTCGGAACGTGAAATATTTACGTTGCGGTACACGAAAAGTTTCAAAGCGAAATTTGGGTTGTAAATGGAAGAAAAATCCAACGCGAACCATTTGAAACTCACGAAAAATATCTTTCCGGGTTGTTCGGAATTTTAGTCGGCCGTCCGTTTATGGCACGGACAGACCCATTTCCCTCATTAGAAAATTCCGAATTACCGGTTCTCCCAGGGCTGCAATTCGAAATTTGAATGACCGTCCGTTTACGACACGGACAGGTCCCATTCCTCTCGTTAGGAGATTCCGAATTACATGTCCTCCCAGGGCGGTAAACGTCGCTGACTCGAGGTCAGGAAAGAACCCAGAAAACGACCAGTCGGAAGGGCTAGGTGGCGAGAAGAAATCCAACGGCGGGAGGAGAGAATCAGGAACGGGGGTGTTAGTTCATCTTCGACCATCGGACAGTACAGACTTAGGATGACAGTAGTCCTCGCTTAGTTCGGCTAAGTGCTACAACTAGTACAAATAAAGTGCCGTCTAAATCCAACACTCGAGTCATTTCATCTCCTCCACCTTGAACGTTATGTCATACGAGGTACGCGATATCGACCGATCGGTTTGACCCGACCGATTGCTCTTTAGTCGATAATACGCAACACGGGCAAATCGGCGAACGGTCGAGTATATTTTCGGCAGCAGCTACGACGTCGCGCAATCTTTTTTTGCGTTTAGATGATCATTTCTCTGGACGAGCGAGTAAATAGAAATAAATTACGGAGGAGGAAATGGAACAAACAGAACGATATATTTAGGGAACTGCTCGTCGGTTCGTTACTAATGTTTACCATGCTCGTGATAAATTAAGATTGAATCAAGGTGTATGTACGAACTCCGAGGAAATTCGATGGCGCAACGCGTATAAGTTGCCGAGAAAGGGAGAATCGAAGGAGCGGAAATCAATGTGTTTAGTTTCTTGTTTCGTAGAGACGAAAGTTCGTCCATGATGGAACGATATAATTGCAGGGCGCGGCGTGTTTACTGTCGGGAGAAGAAAATAGAAAGGGAAAGCGGAGGAAACCCGAGGCAAACGAATGAATCTGAAATTTCTCGAAAACAAGAACGCTACTAACAAAAGTTAGCGATTTAGAATCTTATTGCTGCCGTTGCGAGCATAACGCTCGTTAAAGCAGGGCGATTCTTAGAGACAGAAAACAGCGAATGCGATTCCGACTAGTTGTTAGCAATCGGATCCGCCGGTCTGACGAAGTTTTAACGAAATTCGACCTCCGACGAAACGCGGAAACAAAAACGCGAGCCAAATTAAAGCTCCGACTCGGCTTTCTCGTTTCACCCCTATCTCTGCGAAATTTAATCGCTCGCGGACGCGAAATCTTCCCGTGTTTGCAGAAATTTTCTATACGCGTATTCGGTATAAGGCGCGCTCCGAGTTTCCGCGACTTTCTGGTCGAAATGAGCGTGACGCGATACGGCGATTCGCGTAATACGAGGTGATCCCTTGAAAATTCTGCTCGCAGCGGAGCCACGTTTTTCCTTTCTTGGACGCAAACCATGCCCAAGAGTGTACAGAATCTCTGAATTCGAGAATCGCGCACCGCCACTCGCTAACCTTGTGACCTCGTCTCGGTCAATTTTAGATGGAATTTCACTTAAGTGGAGCTCGAAACTTGAAACCATTACGATAGAAACAGGAAATTACTTTATGAAACCGTAGCCTGCTTAGCAAAGAGTTCTACCATTTCCACCATCGACTAGTAAACGCGGAAGCACGATGGACGTAAAATTATCTATTGACAAGCATCGGTCGGTTCGTGTTTGCCGATTCCTAAGCGATAACGCACCGTTGAATTAACGCGAATGCATATCGAGATGCGGCCGGTGGTCGATTCGCGCAACAATATTCAAACGGTTCTTCTCGCTGCCTACGTATCGATTTCATTTGGCTGGAAAGAACGAGAGCGGTCGAGTTTCAGATAATTAAATCGAATCGACGATGCACATAGATAGCGCACCGCGTCCCGATCTGTACCTGGTACTCGACCAACTCTTTCCAAGAATATCTCCGACTAGTTGCATCGACCGTTGCATTCTACGTGGTATACGCGTTTCCTTTTCACTGCGGGTCGGTTCGATCGAAGTCGCTCGTGTTCCTTTTAATTTCGAACGCACACGAAGATAAATAGCCCGAATCCTGTTTTCATAAAGCAACCTGCTCGTAGTTTCCAGATCCAACGTACCAAAAAATCCGTCTGTACAGCGTTTATTTATTCAGGAGTATCGCTGGAGCGGCAGCGATCGAACAGCCGGCTGATTAACATATTCGCATAAACGAAATTCTTTAGGAAAAAAAGGAAAATATTTAGGGAGTATCTTCTGTCTGATCCATCTAGGGTGAATATCCAGGAATATCTGCTCGTACAAGTAGAATCCTAAAATTTGTTCTAGGGCGATCAACATTTTATTATTTTTTGTCTTTACGCATCGTCTAGTAGCAACTATATTTCGGAGTAACGAGAATGACGGAATACCCAATTTTCGTTTAGTAGATATTTTGCCCTTAGAAAGAACTTGATTGAACGGGTGGTTGCCTAACATGATACGAGTAGAATTTAATAAAGGTGGAAAGAAGGTTTCGAGCGATTCGTTGACGTAGAGGTGTGGAGGGTGTGTCGATGTAATCAGGTCGCGATGTGCCCAACCACGAGGTTCGAAAAAGGCAGACAGAACCGTGCGTTTTAAAATGTTGGAACACATTTGGATTATCTAGTTTATTCGCCACGAAAATTCCTCAAAATCAACGCGATATCGATCGCAGTCGAAATTTCCGCGAGGCTCTCGTAACGTTCTCTTTCTAACGACGCCAACGAGTACTCTGGAGTAAATAAAACGTGGAAATTAATGCCATTCGAGCGATAAAAATAAAGTATAGGCAGGCTCGTCGCTAGAAATTCGTAAACGGGCAAATTTCCAGCAAACGGAATAAGTTCGATAGACGCGAAGGTGGATTATTGTATATTATCGATAGATCATGGAACAACGGCGAACGGAGAACAAAGCACGGGTGCCGTATAAAACCCCCGGTGTCGTGAATTACCAGTGAAATTGACTATCGAAAGCCGATACATCAGTATGAAATGCGGGGACCCGAACAGTTGACGCTAAGCTGCGTCGATGAAGTGAAAAGAATATGAAACGATGGTTCCATGCATACGAACGACGCGGCACACGCTAGCTCGCGACGAGCACAATCGATTCGCTAAACTCGAATACCACTGTATCTTTCGAAAACGTTTGACAGCGGTCTCTCTCGTCCCTTTTTTGCGGCTATCTCGCGCCAACGACAACGGAACAACGAACGCGTTTAAGCAATGCTCGTACCTTCGTGTTTTAGCTGGCAGACAATTTATACGGTGTAAACTGGCCGGATTGTGCACGTTTTTTCGATGCTAAATCCCCGGTTGTTCATCGTTCCAGCGATCGAGTTTGGTCGAAATTGGTCGGACTTCTGTTGGCAATGCAGAGATTCGTTCGATTCATTGACCGGTGAATATCTCGGACGAACAGTTGTTTCTCGGCTTGGATAGATCAACGGATAATTCGTAGATCAGGCCGAGATGGACGTCTTTAAAGTTCTAAGTTCTATATACGATCTTCGTCTATCGATAAATACGACCGCTAAATCTCTTTCGATGCGTTGCTTGTTGTATTACTGGCAGGAAACGTTTTCCGCTGGTATTTCAAGTATTTCAAGTTTGTTCCGAACTTGGATTTTAGATTCTTCTCGACGACACGTGTTTCTATTTATTCTATTTATTTTTGAATCGATACCACGTCGTAGGAAGATCGAGTGGCGTACATTGCTTGCTCGCTTGCTTGTCAGCGGCACGATGTACCACGTCAGTGTGTCTGGGAAAGTTGGTCGAACCCTGGGACTTGCGCGATCTCGTTACTTCGAGTCGAGTCACGTTTCGCGTCACGTTTCGCGTCCTGTTCGAAATACTTCACCGTGACCAAATTTCACGTATCGCGCAGGCTGGTCCTATCCATGGACGATTGATCGTGGCTTCCTTCGACCTTCCAGAAAATTTCATACGTTCCGCTCACCAGCGAAAACCATCGTACGTCGTAGCTTACGCGAGCGGTCAAATTGTTTCCGCGAGCATTTCGATGATATTCAAATCGGTAATCGATTATTTTCGGAATTTATTTATCGTCAATCCGGTCCAAGCGAAATAAGTTTTTGGTATTTCGAAAACACTTATCTGCAAGTTGGGATAGCGACGTCACGCGAAACCTCGTGTCTTTCGACCGATACTGGGCGACTCGTGTTTCGCGTGCTCGATCTGCGACGCCTTTAGGCCAACTGCTCGTGAAAATGCGGCTCTTGCTGCGCGCCACGTTCCCCGCGCCTGCGCCACCATCAATTTCTTCGATACTCTCCTCTACGTGTTTTCGATATCGCGAGCTTCTGATTAATTCATCTTCGTTCGGGTACCTTGATCGACGATTTCCTCGAACTGCAGTTCTTTCCGTCGTTGCAGCCCCTTTCTGCCTCGTTCCACTTTTTCGATAAAGCTTTCCTTTAACTTTGGACCCGTGTAACGATGTAAATCGTCAAGATGTAACGACCGTGTGTTGCACGTACAATCGACAGTAAAATACAGCAGCGAAAGCGTTAAGATCTTCCGCTTCCGTATCTCGTTAAGCAGTCCTTGCTCCAGTAACTCGTGGAAAATAGGCCTGTTCGTATATCATACACAACTTTGCTCCAATTATTTCACGAGGACGACCTGGTTTCAGGGCGAATTCGCGAAACAGACGTCGGACACAGTTCATCTTGGACGTTTCCACTTTTCGTCATACATACGAGCAAATGAAATCACGGAAACTACGTAAAATTTTCTCCAACATCGTTGGTATTGGTCGGTGATGGATTCGAAACGCGAATAAGAACAAATTGGACGAAATAGGGACGGAAATGGTTGCAAGAGCACGGCATTCTTATTCGTTCTCGGTACTAACATACGTATATTTCCGGCTGTGCATATCGATACGAATATATCTCCTTTAAAACGAAATATTTTGGAATACGCGCGGTATTTCCCTGTGCTGTGCTGTCCCGGAAATATTTTTACCGAAACGAGGAAAATACAGGTGCGTTCGACTCGCTCGAACTGGATTATTACTCGCACGATCGGAAATACGTTGCGTTTCATCAACGATGAAATATTTAGGCGAGACCATTAACCGCAATGCCCCTCGAAGCCTTAATTGGCTACAGACAATAGGTGCGTGCGCATTAACTGGTTGGACGCAGAGAGGAACGCGCGATGATTAACGCACTGTATATCGATTCGGTTAACGAGGCGCCTAGCTCGTACCATTACGTTATCGTTTGTTCATCTTTCGCTTACGTCGTCAACTTAATCCGATGACGTTTGCGTGACAATACGAAAACGGGTACATCTGCGGCAAAGCACGGCCTTCTATGCATACGCGAGCGTGTACCCGTGCTGACACGTGCAACCGCGAAATCACTCGAAACGGACGGCATGTGATAGGACGCTCATACCGTAACATCGTATTCGCCTTGGATATTCACCTCTGACCACTGGCCCGAATATAGCGGCTGGCGAAAATATTTAGACATTTACCGTATCGAACTTTTATATCTATGTACTTATTGTATACCTATATCGTATCTGTATATATGCGTGTACATGCATGCATGCGTATATCGTTCGAACAGGACGTGCATGAAACGCGTAACTTCTGAAAATCGAGTCGAGAATAACGAATAAAATTACGAGTATATTAAATGGGACAGTAGTCGAGAATAACATAAATTCGGTGATCGAAACATCGAAAGTTCGTGAAACTTTGCAGCCATGTATGTTACACGTACATGCGAATAATCGAGAGAACAATGAAAAATTAAGCGGGTCGAAGTTGCGCGCAACTTGTTACCGCCTCTAACGAGCGAGTATAAAATATTCGATCCTAAATTACCGATCATATCGTCCGATTCGTTATCTGCAATTGATCAACGACATGCAACGTTTCATTAATAATCTTCGTTAACGCATTAAATCGTTATTCGTTACACGGTATTTGCTCGATTAAAACGATGGTCGAGAAGTCGGCCGAAAACCGACGCGCATTTCGAATTCGATTTAGACGATGCACTTTAGAAGCTACACAGGATATATACGTAAATTGGATTGTCAATGGAGGGATGCTCGTACTTGTATTAGCATTAGACTCTGGTTGCTGTAGGGCCGACTATGCCGATTAACCGTATCTATTTGCTCGACTACAAATACGAAATACAGGCCTGCCTGATCTGCATTCGATTCCATTAACGAACTAGTTATCCGACCGAGGATCCTCGTAAATTTTTACTCTTCTCGTCTCATTTCTTTCCAACCTTCGATTCCAGTTATCGGATATCGCTATTTCGGAGATGAAAATTCGCTTCTAAAATCACTTGGAAATTTGACTGCCTCGAAAATCATATTCCACGATATTCGATTTCCGAACGTTCCGGCTCGTAAAAGTTCCATTGATTTTTTTTTTTTTTTTTTTTTTTTTGGTAATCGTTATTAGAAGCGGAACGAGAAAAGGCACGTGGAAGACAGTTGGCAGAATTTCGGTTTGGCTCGAGCCACGAGCGTGTCATCTCGATTTCTGACTACTGTTTGATGGCTACAGTTTCGTGATAAATCGTAAACCGTACTGGACGACTCTGATCTTGGATTCTCCGGATTCTCCGGGACTGGAATGAAACTAGAATTTCCTCGAAAATACTTCGCGATCTTTGCTCGAAGATTTTTCAACACTGCGCTGCAAATAGTTTAATAATAGCGGAATCGCGAGGCGAATCAAAGTATTCCCGAAGAGGAAGCGAAAAATGAAAAAGCGAAAGGGAAGAAGCGAAGTTTATAAGCAGGTTTCGAGAATACGCAGAAAGAGAAGGCAAACGTCATGGCGTTGATATACGCGACAGATGATGCAAGTGCGAGACAGTCGGTCGCGTTGCGATAATCGCGTGAAATGGACGTTATACGGCCGTAATTGACGGGACGTTAATTGCATTACTAATCGTGTGCTTCCGAGCACGTAGCACCGCGCAAAGATCGAACACGCGTGCACCAGTACTAAGCCAGAATTACTCCGTGCGCTGTTTACATATTTTCCTTCGTGCTCGTTTCTGCCCGCATATATTTACTTGCTTTTTCCGTTACGTTTTTACGTCAGAGGATGAAAAAAAGGTAAGGTTACTTTTTACCGCCGTGTGGCGAAACACCGCGAACGTTGGTTCACGAGTAAACGAGAAACTCCTTTTTACTATTAATCTTTTACTCCAAATATCAATTACGTTTCAGTGATTTTTAATTTAGTCGTTGGCAGCAGAAGAGATTCGGCACGCTTTGCATGATATTTTTCTTTTTCCTAACAGTTATAACGCCTACGTGACGACAGTTTTTCATTTCATTTTGCGGTAAATAGACGCGTATCGAGTTAGTATCTAAGAAAGAATGACGTGAAAAAAACGTACTCGTTTTTCAACTGCTTTTTGTAATTTAACGAAGCAACGATCACTTTAAACGAATCACGTCCGTCTAACATTAAATTTCGTCCAGGCGTGAAACAGCGTCAGAGATCGCGCAAATATCGATTTATCTTTTCTTCGATCTAAGTTTAACGCGCTTTCCTATTTCTGTCGTTTTGGCGTACACGCAGACAAGATATTCGTCGCTCGGGAAATACCAATACGTTTAAAATGAAACGCTTTTTTTCAATTTTTTGTACAAACATTTTCTTTCGTTATTGACACTCGCGAACAGGTGTGATATCGATCTTAGTTATTTAAAGTTCGGTCTTAAGCTACAATTGTTTCGCCGCCTTTATCGTTTTCCGATTTCCTCTGCTTTCGTCGAACTGGACTAGCGGTGGCTGGGCACGGCTCCCGATCGTTTCTTCTTTCGATCTTCGCTCGATTTCCAACTTTTGTCCAAGTTTCCTTACTGCACCAATCGTAAATATTCCCGTGGCACATGACCGACGGTAAAAACGCTATTGGAATCGTATAAAATAACGCGCGAGAAGCCTATCGTTTCGGCGATGCTTTGCGAAGAATCTTTCTCACACTCTTGACACGAACGATGAGCGAGACAAAATGAACGCCCGCTTTTTCTGCGAAATTACGAATTTAATACGCTTTGATCGCCTGTGTTCTACGGAAGACGCATTTGCCTTTGATTTATACTTTACGACAGTCATAAGCGCCTGTGCAAACATATTCCTATTAAGTACGACGAAATCGCATTGATTTCGCATCATCTAAATTGTCAAAGCACGGTAGCAGTGTATTGTATCGTTCTCGAGAAAAATAGATGCACGAAAGCGGCTTTTATCTTTGTCCCGAAAATATCTGCCAGAGAGTCGGGGATTCTTTCCTCTTGCACTGGAGAACTACGATTAAATCCTGAGGAACAAGGAAGTCGATAGCAGGTTTTTAATAACGCGCCTATTGTAAGGAAAATCGAAACGTCCATTACCTAGCATCGATCGCGCGATACGCTACGTTCGATCTTTCTCTATCTTATCCTCTTCTTCGATATGAAAGCGATCTTGAGCAGATTGACGATGGGCGCCTCGAACGCGATGGAAATGCAGAACGACATCAAGTAGGAGGCGACCAGATTGCCAAAGTACAAGATCAGCTGGAAAACCATATGAAAAGTGAGCATTTCGAGAAAGTACGAAGGTAAAAATAGTCGTTTATGTCTGATTCGAAACATCCGACACTTTGAGATTCACCCAAGCACACATTGTCGCCGTTCGGACCCGAAGACAGCTGGCTCGTTCTGCCTAGACTTACCACGATATTGTTGTGAAGATGGAGCGGACCATCCATCTGGGATACAGTGACCATCATGATGACAGGATGCACCAAGTACGCGCAGTAAGTCAACCTCGATAGCGGATATATCAGTTTGAGCGACAGCAGACTGTCGATCATTCTAGCGTACCCGGTGCAGCATTGAATCACGATGAAGGATACACCGATCGCCCAGGCGGTGTGTCCTAAGGCGGCGTACACGGAACTCACCGGCACGGTTAAGTTTCCGGGATATAGACCGTAGACTACCGAGAACATTATGGCAGTAGATAATACCCAGCCGATTACTCGTACGATCTGCAACAGTGGCGTTTAAGCTCGCTCGCTCGATCTCGTCTCGATTACGAGTATCAGCTGACAACCAAATAATTTATCAAAGATTAACTGGAACAGGTTTCCTTGATTTTAAACTCGTCGGGATATCTGCCACGTTGGTCCACTAAGGGGAATTTACGTTTCACTTTCCGAGATCAAACGGAGCATCTTTTACCTTATTAAGGTGCCGGATTAAGCTACTTACCAGAGGCAATTTCAATTTGCAATTCGTTCTGAACAAAATGTAACCGGTGATGATGCCAACGAAGTAAGGCCCAGCTCTCAGCCAAGGCTTATCGTACAGCTCGTCGAAAAGCGCAAACGGTTCTTGGATTCTAACCGGGGAAGAAACAAAAAGAGAGAATGAAGATTTACGCGGCAGAGATAGCCGGCAAGTGCGGTATAAGTGGAAAGTACGGGACTCGCTAAGTTATTATAATTAGCGAGTAATCGCGTTATAACCGTTCGCAAAGCTAGAAATCTGACGTTTAATTATAACGGGTCGAAATTTAAAGCGGTGGTGTTTCATTTATAAATCGAATACCGTTAAATCCAGTCTAAAAGTAGGTGGTTGAAATTACACGTTCTGACAATGGACACGACACGCGACAAAAAGGAGAAAAAGAGAGAACGAAGGGGTTTCACTGCTGAACAGAGGTAAACCGGAACGTTTAATCGACGTTAAACGTGCAATCGACAAATTTTTAACGCTTAACGAATTAATTACCTGGCGATGTAATCGTTGGAATAGGCGACGGAGAAGGTGGTAAACCACGAAGAGGCGATCAACAGCAAAATCACGACGACGATGGCCTTCAGGTATTTGATAGATAGAAGAAGCAAAAGTATTCCGAGAACGTAGAACTGTGTGTCGTTCGCCATATACCAGCTCCACAGCATACACTGGAAAGTTGTTAATCAAGTATTCATAGGATAATCACGTCAAGGTTCAACGTACTGAGAATAGGTCATACTATCGGGGAGTATCGGAAAAAAAATACTCGTTCCATGAAAAATCTATAGCCGAGAAAAACTTGATAGCTAATGGATCAAACGTCGTACTAGTGGATCGTTCGATCAAGTAGAACCGTTTTCACGACGTTACATAGACACGACGATCTTTTCCTCTGGTTTGACAGTGGCAGCTCGTAATTTCTCGCTACGGATCTTTGAAATGCGAGGAAGCAAACGGTCGGCTGTTTAACCAATGATTAACCCACTCTTTCTCATGGACGATGAAATTAATTCTAGAACGGTTAGACACTCTCCGCGTTGTCCCGGCACTTTGGAACTTTCTCCGAACGATAGAATTAATTATCGGAAAACGATCGAGACGCTGACACCTTCCCGCCCCGTAATCTCCGCGACTCGTACTCCTGGAAATTTTGCCGCATCCTCCTCTCGCTATGCATCGTCGTTCTTTGATTTAATTGTATTTGCGTTCGTGTTAAGAGCTACGTCAATATTAACCAACGACTCTGTTAATTCGCTAACGAGTCTATTAATTTTCTAAATGGTAAAAATGTTGATCCAATATCCTTACCATCTCGGTACGAGGGTAGAGCGAGTTAAGGTACAATGCGTTTCTCCACCAAAACTTTTCGCACGTCAAATGGTCGACGATCACTGGCGAGAACACCGTCCTTGATAGCGCATACTTGATGGCGATCTCGTTTATTCCCAGGACAAAGAGATACGCCGGTGTCAATCTTGGTAAAAGAAAACGGAAAGAGATCGGTATACGAATTCGCTTGACCGAGGTTTGACAGTCGTTTATTGGAAGAGATTTCTCCTTATTTGAAATTTGTATGCTCGATCGAATCGTGTATCGGATTTTATCGTGGATCTCTTCGCTGTCGACTTGGAATAGAACCACGTGCGAAACTTTTACAGTTTTAATCCGTTCTGTTTTCGTATCGTAGAATAGTTCGATCTTTTTTACCTGATAAATCTGTAGAGGATCATGATGATAAATTTGGTGAAACACGTCTTCCAGAAAATGCCCTTGTCATTTTTCAAGCTACCGGAAGACCGATAGAAGAGGATCGTAACTAACAAGCCACTGAAACAGTCGCATTCGTATGGATTAGGCGATTGATTATCTCATAACGAGGATACTTGTCATCGGATGTGTCTTACCTGATGAAGAAAAATGTGTCTACGGAGAAGGTGGCGTTGCTGATAGTTTGGAACATAAAATTCCGCTCTGTCACCGAACGCAGGGTTTTGTTCTCTGTAAGGCGATAGAGAAAGTCATCTCATCTCGAAATTATCAGAGAAAGTTCGAGGTAACGCGTTATATCGAGACGAAGAAAATTCGATTACGGTGAACCAGCAGATCGGTATACGTACTCCGTTACGTCACAATACGTTGCACAGAGAAATTAATCGGATCTATATTAATAAACAATTTTTCCAACCGTGAAAGCTACTCTAAATTCAAATTGCTTGCAATCTTTTTCCATCGAATCTAATCTATCGTCGACGAGGCTGATTCTCGGTGTTCTTAATAGCAACGTCGCAATTACGACAATTATTTTTTTCACGAACGACTAATAACAATGTTCCTTGTACTCGTAAATTATAGCGATCAGAAAATCACTCGAGTTCTACTAAAACATAGTGGCCCAAGGTGGTCCAAACGGACGTTCACCGATATTACTCGAACGTCGTGATGTTGTTTCTGAAAAGGGATGATCACTTTACCAGCAATGGAGAAGACTTGAAGATAGGTGTGCACCATGACCACCCATCCCAGCGAGAACACTCTGAGCCCATGCAGACAAGTCAGGCTGTCTCTCGCGGCAGGTTCGGTGCTAACGATTTTGCTGCCGTTCGCGATAGGATTGAAGGCTGTTAGACACGTTAGCCAGAAGCCTGAAAAGAAATGGACGAGAAAGAAAACTGTTAGAGGATCCAAAGATTATTAGCGAGTAACGCGAACCGCTGAGCATGCGTCACCTTTCTTGCTCTCCTTTTCAGAACGATCAGGCGATTCTTTTTGCAAGTTCTTCCCCTTTTCGATCAGCTCCTCCCCGTTTTCTTGGATCACTTCGCCATCTTGGTTTAGATTTTTGTTGGAAAAATTGCTCAGTCTCTCGTTGTTATTCGATACGCTAGATGATTCCACATCCTTGACATTCGGTTGTACTCCTGTTCTGTACTCGTACATAGTCGCACAGATCATCAGAAATAATAGCGCGCCTGCAACTCCGCTGAAAAACCAGTCGGGAATATGTTTCGCGAACGTAACGTGCAAAAGCAGGATGAATTAAAGAAACGTATCCTCTTTAGAGGATGATTCGAGAAAACTAATCGCGTAACCTCCGTTGGTTAACGTAACCTCCATAAGCTGTCTCTTTCGCGATGATAATTTTAATGGAGCAATCTTTTTATCGGACAAATTTACAGTTCTTCGAGTGGTTAAAATTATATCGAGGAGATTACATTAGGAGGAGGAGGAGGAGCATTAAAGCGTATATTAAAATGTAAAATTGATGGTAGTACCGCTAAACCGCTCTTAAATCACGAAGGGATATAGGAAATTTTCCGTGGCATATTCGTTTTCCGTCTCCTGCTCCTTTTTCCACGACATTTCGCTGCTCGCTTTAAAACGCGATTAACCTACGCTGATACCCCTGTAAACAGTTGCCTCCATTATACGTATAAATAATGTAGTATCGTGGACAAATGGCCTAAAAAATATCGGGTGAACCATAAACAATGTTGCGAGAAAGCCTAAGTGCCGACAGGCTCATCAGTGTGACGTGGGTCCTTCGATCGAACAGTTACGCGGAAAAAGGCCTATGCGACCATGTTAACCCTTTCGCTTCGAGCGCAGCATATAAGCAGCGACCATAAGACGACTGCTGAGTCCGGCACCCCATATATCCGGCATCCAAATGATGCATATACAAGTGTTATCTGTAGTCAATAGTATATTTTTTCGTTATCGGCGGAACATTTTTTGCTGATTTTATTGACATATTGGATTAATCACTTCTTCAAGTTACTCATTATCGAAACAACATCAAAACGTTTCACGCAATATATTTCAAATATCCAGACGATCGTATACTGTTTCATGCTAAAAAATCTATTAAATCCATTGACAGTGAAAAGATATTTCATATACGGTTCTTACAAGAATTATCGTTATTTAAGACTTAGGAAAACGTGTATACAGCAACCACGCACACTGTGCGTATTTCTGGCGCGCGTTTCCGTTCAGTAACAGTACTTTGGCAGATTGGACTGTCGAAGCGAAAGGGTTAAGGGAGAAAGACGAATTAACGGTCGATAGTTAGTCGAAAAATTAGAGTGTTGTCAGCGTCGTCAGAGAGTGTCGTCAACGTTGTCGAGGAGGATTGTCCGCGTGAGAGAGAGAGAGAGAGAGAGAAAAAGCGTTGGAACCGTGATGACGAGAATTGTAAACGAACTATTTAGTTGTCTTAGTCATGGCACATTGCTGTATTTCCATTCCAATCCATTCCAAATAAATAAGAAAATCTTACAATAATAATTCGGGTTTACGAACAGCTAATCGCTCGTGTTTCTTAGAAAGTAGAACTGGGCATTAAACGAATTACGAATTGTACGATTAAGCACATTTAGCCGCAATAATTTTTATCATATTCATCAATCAATTTGAAACGCGAGGTAATCTAAACGAGCATGACCAAACGTGAACACTGCGAATGCAATTAACATCTCTTTAAAGCAATTGGGTTACGTCTATCCTCGATAGCGATGTTACTGCTATTAAACATACGAACGGTTTCACATTATCGAAAATTTATGACCCAAGTTCCAATGCGAATTGACAATAAATTTAGACTTTAAAGATCGGACAAAATTTTTTCAAAATTAAAATAATGGACGACCAAGGAGCAAATTAATCGCGTCGTTAATGAATATTCATAACGCGGTTACTTGATACGTAACGGTAGATTTCTCACGGAATTTTTAGAGATAGCTACGTAACAAATATTTCTAAGCATCGATAGAGGTCAAGTATATCGATACAGACGAAGGAAAACCAATAAAGTTTGCGAGATTTATGTATAGCGCGTGTTCCAGATTTCTGGAACGCTTCCCACAAAATCGAACCACCTGCGGAATCATTACCCGTCGACGGTGACTTTACGTCGGCCATAAAGATTCGTAACGACTCAATCACTCTAACTGGAAATTGGTCGTTTCGAGGTTTATTTCGTAGCTCGCGATTCATCGAAGAATTACTTTTGAATATACGGTAGAACATTGATCGTCGGAACGATTAACGGTACGATCGATCATCGGATCACCGATTAAGAGAAAATTGAAATGGGGGAACGACGATAAAACTTGAAAGAGCTTGCCACATTTTTATTAGAAAGCTTCTGTTACTGCTTGATACGGAAACGTTTCATTTTATACGACAGCGAGATGTACGATAATTAATTTGGATAATTAACGTCCCGTTATACTAAGAAAAATCGCTGTGAAGCGCAATCGGGTTCACCGTGCGATATCGACTTCGTGACTTTCTTTCCTTGCTTAACCTTTTTAATCGACGTGCAACGACGCTTCGCGGAAAACATTCTCCCCATCGAGCGTTCCTCCTCCCGGGGGAAAGCGAACAATAAATAATGCTCGTCTTTCTCTTTCTCATTTTTTCCAGGTAAAGTAGCGAGCTATGGCAGAGAACAAAGAAATCGATACTCGAGGGATCGACTCGCGGTACAACTAGGAACAGAAGGCGAACTATGCCAGAACCGAGTAATCGTAAGTAAAGTATTTCGGTTTGTCAAAGTTGGTGGAAGAAAGAGAGCTTATTCCGCTTGGCGCGGGACAAACGACAAAAAGTTCGTCATTTTTCTACGTTAATAGGCCCTTAAACGCGAATCACGATGCGCTGGGGGAGAACAAAACGGGGGACAAGTTTTTCCCTCGGCTTTAAGGGGACTCTCTCGTCGTCATTTTATATTAAGATGGGAGGCAGCGGTATAAAACTTGCCAGATTTAAATTATGCCGTGACTCATTTGCATTTCTCCTATTTATTTCGAGATTTTTCCGGAGTCACGCGGTGGTTTGTTCGCATGTCCGAGGAAAGCTCATCGAAGGAAAATCGAGGAAAAGAAAGAAGAACAGAATTACCGTGAAAATTGGTAAAGCAGTTTCATCCTCGTGTCCGAAAAGCATCGAAACCGGCTGGAAACTTTCGGTTAATGCGTTACTTATATAGGATCGTTTCTAGGTCGAAGATTAGGTACCTTTACCAACCTTTCAGAACCTTTATCCGAATCTCTCGGGGGCGTAACCGTAACGCGGCGGTAAAAATTTTCAATTTATCCAGAAATTGAACCGTGCAACGTCTTTATCCCTCGAGAAAACTGGCTACTCCGAGTCGAATCGGAGGTCCAATATGACCATCTCCATTGACAACACGACGCTTGAGAATCCTAAGGATAATAAGCGCAATTTGACTTCGTCCGTCATGGTTTCCTACGTACTATGTTCGTCATACTTTGTATCCCATGAATAAGATTTCGTTCCGCACGGCGTTATCTCAGTACTTTTCCTTTCTCCTTTAATACATGCAAATGAAAAATTGTGGCAACACAGTTTTTTGTTGTTGGACAGCGCGGGAAACTTTTCATCTAATTTTATTCATAAATGTAAATTATCTAAGAACGCGCGGAGCGGTGATTCGCTTATTCATCGAGTCGGTCCTTATTATGCGTCGTTTCTTGCATTTTCGTGTAATTAAATTCGGACGATTACGCGTGCATTTTCATTGCAGATTCGCTGGCTCCTTTGCATAACGAGTGTATATGTTATTCGATGGTACGTTAGAGCGAAGTTAACGGTATTAACGCGATAAAACTTCACCATTCCGTAGTCGTATTTCGATAGCCTTTATGTAATTTCTGCTGAAACGATCGTTCGATCCGGCAAGCAGCTTTCAAAATCGATCCAGGTGGAGCAATGCTAACCTTAATGTGAGAAAACCGATCGCCGTGGTACCCTCTTCTGGACGTTGAACGATTAAAATCGGTAGAGAGACGCGAATCGAATCAATTCCGCCTTCGAGTGGAATGCACACAATAGCGAATCTACTTTCACGTGTCGACGCTTTCAGCCTTTCTACGATCTTGCGTAATACATTCGAGGCACACGTGCGACCGTGCACACCTGCCGATACGCGCTCTAACACGAATTTCCAACCAAATCGATCGCCGGAAGAAGCGAAACTCCAGAATGTATCTATTCAGAAGTCGGACAGGGTGTCCAATTCGAGAGCTTTGATCTCAGTGGATGCGATGTAAACACGGGCTCGGAATCTCTCTCACGTTCATTAAACTGCAAATGCAATGCTCATTGCATAATTGCTGTAAACCGGTTCGTTGCTAATATAAATACGTGGCTCATCGAGAGAGGGAGAGAGTGTAAAATGATGATCGCAAATGGACGATTAAAACCTACATATTTGCGCAATCTGGAAAGCAACGAAATTGCTAATACATCGATGCAAATACCGATCGTATTTGCAAAAATCGTGCAGTTTGTTCGAAACACTTTCTTTGAACGTGGTTACGTCGAAACGTACGTACATTTTTGCAACGATTAAGCTACAAGCGAATAGGTCGTAAACTTTTGATTCGGACTATCGAGAAAATCGATCAATTCGTACAATTCTACGAAAAGTTAGTAAGAAAGAGGATCGTAACCCTGACCTTAGACGAAAGCTGAAAGATCTAGCGACTGTTGTGGATGGAGCTTAATAATCTCGAGGCGCACGATCTTATCTAAACGGGGATCGTTTTAAGGCCATAAGATTGTAACTTGCCTTGGAACTTGGACGCGCTACTTGTTGTATTATAGTTAACAGGTATATATGCATCGCGTGCAAGGACGCGACGAGGTGCGAATTCCTATTTATAGTTGGAGCAGGTTAACACTGACGTAATTTGCAGTTAGGAGAAAATTACAAGTTCGAAGGTAGTGAACCCTTTGGAAGCATCTTGCTGCTAGTTCTGTTCATCGAGCGACCGACCAAGTACAGCCGAACGATTCGAATATTTATGACCCAAGTTTTTCGATTAAAATCGGACTTTTACTATTTTTAGCGGAAGTAGAGCGACGCGGCGAGCTTTCTCCGGTATTTACGCGATCGTCGATCTTTCGTTCATTTTGCATAGTTTCTCGTTTTACCGAGAGCGACTTAAGTCGTTGGCATGCGATAAAGGCGCTTCCTCTCTCGGCATCTATCAAAGTTCATCGTGGCGAATCAAGCCGCTGTTCGAAACTTGCGAAAAATTCTGTACAAAGTAGCGAGATATTCGGCGGTTGGATGTATACGACGTTGCTTTGTGTTCGTTATGATTTACGCAGAGTAATTCCTTTTAGCACGAGCTCGTTTCCGTCTTCGATCGAACAACGATTCTCGAATGCATTTAGAGATTCGCATCGATTACCAATCTCTCGCTTTCTCCCGTTCTTTCCTCCGGTGACATAACGTCGTTTATCGAGATTTAATTGGCCCGGTGCAAGGACGCAGCGATAGAATCGCTACGAGATATTATCTCGGATCTGAAGGCAAGTTTCTCCAGGAAAAATCGGCGGATGACGTTCGAAAGTTAAGTGTCTTTTGGTACAACTTTCGAGTTGAGTTGTTAAAGCAGCAACGCAGCCGCGTTGCATAATTCGCGATCAAATGGCTTTGCAAAAACCGTTCTGGCGTCGCCACAGACACGGTGAATATGAATCTAAGTTGTGCAAGTAATGCAACCAACGATCTGCGTGCAGCGTATTTTTCGTATTTTTCTTTTGTTCGGACTGTCATTGACGCAATCGTTGTTCTATGGCGCTTTCGTGTAACTGTGACATGGCTCGCATAATATTCCATCGAGGCGTGTTCGATCTTTTCTTTCGATTTGTCGCAACTACTCAAAAGTAGAACGGATGTGGCAACATATTTTTTCGAAGAGATCTGCTTTTCCAGAAAATTGCCGAGTTGTGTACGAAAGGGAATAGTCGCGATGGGCTGAATCGGGGTGCGAGCGTTTCTGCATCGGGCGTGCAAAACGCGTTCTAAAAAAGTTTTGCAGCGATGGTTTACGCGGAGATCGTAATTCCATTCCAGAAGAAAGTACAGAAAGCGTATCGCGCCCGTAGACGAACGAGCTTGCGTACGTGCACCGTGATGGATCATTAAGCGTGCTATCGTACGGACGATAAACCTGTGATACAGGCTCGCTGTAACTAGACAAATTTACAACGTCGTACAATTAAAAATACTACCACCTGCTCCAGTGCCTTCGACGCTGCTTTTAGGAACAAGAAAGTTAACGAACTATCGGGTTATACGTGTGCAGGATCAAAAACCCTCGAGCTCGCTTCTCTTCGCGTATCGTTTAAAAATAGGCACTTGTAACCGACGAACGAGAGAACTTCATTTTGTTTCGTTTCTTCGCGCGAATTCCTCTTTACGCGAACGGAGACGCGCGTCTAATCGGACAACGAGGAAAAGTTTTTCTTATATAAGCCAATACATTGGAACATATCGTAATGTTAGCGCGAGTTAGCTAGCCATCTCGACACGTAGTTACGTGAACGCGTGTGTAAGTTATTCGTGCTAAGTTATCGAAGTGAATGTAACCATTGCGCAAATTCCGGTCGTGTAACCGAAGAAATCGCGGCAAAAAATATATTTCTACGCGTTGTTAGGTCTTCAATGGAATTTCGTAATTAGCGTAATTTCGTTGAAACGCCGGTCGCTGATTGCGTTGCACCGAGCATGCTCGTATTTCGAATTCTGAAATTTCGTAATTTGACCACGAAAAGTTAAACCGCAGAAACTCGTGGTTTGCTAATGGCTTAGACACGTCGAACGAGCTTTGCAAATGCAGCGGGGTCTTAAAAATTGTCTCGTCGGAGTTTAACTGCAGGTAAACCGCGCCACTGATCTTTTACGAGTATTTAAATACATATGTATGTCCTCGTCACGTAGTTGCTTCATACGCGGAAACGTTCGAATATTTTTTACGTAAGTAAACAGACACGAATTCGCGTAAGAGTGTCATGCATGGAAATTCTTGTTGATCAAAGATACGTATCCCGTAATATCTCGCGATATCTTGTTCCACGCGGTTACGCCGTTTCTCCGACTTCTCAGCGACTTTTATCCGTCGTTCGAAGTTTCTTTCAACCTTTGCAATTATTTGCTCGTAATCTGAAGCTGATATAAGAAAATGTGTCGGTTTGTTCGAGCTGGCGATCTAGTGGAACGAAGCCGATAAACGCGGCAGCCTCGCAAACGAAAAAATAATTGAGATCGCGCGATAGATTATCGGATGGTGGAGTTCGGTGGAAAATTTGATCGGTCGACTTACGATTTACGCGGGCCACGGCGAAAGAAAAGTTCTTGCGTTACTTACGAGAGAACGTACGACTTGGGATCGCGCCAAGGGTTGTAATTGCTCGAAGGCACAGATTTCACCGCAACGATGTGGATCTTCGGGCCGGTCGATCGATAAGTCGAGTTACCTTCTCGTTCGACTCGATCGGCGTTCGCTCTTAGCATCGAGGTCAGGGATGCTTGGTCGCACGTAGCTGGCAGGCAAAGACCCAAAAATACTTGTCTCGTCTGAAAACAAATTGGTTCTAGTTCGATCTACGATGTGGCTCGACAAGCATGGAATTACGTCGCCGAGATACGAAGAAGCAGGAAAAAAACTATCGAGGCGTCTTAATTAAATTTCAGACGCTGAATCGCAAGATAAATCAGAGCAGGAAGATTCAATTTCAAGATTAATTAAACTTTTATGCCCTCGCATTTCGCTCGGTTTACTTTGCGCCATGATTTCCAAACTGCCTCGAAGTTCGACGGGCTTTTAAAATTCAATTTCTTTCTAGGTTTTCTTCCTTCGTTGCTCCGTCCGTTTCTGCTACCCGTTTTTCCAGCGCGATCATGCCACCCATCGCACGCCTGACGGGAAAGTCGCGAAACGATTTCGAACTCGCCCGACGTACAGCTGCATCTGCCCTCGCGATAATCTTCCCATGTAGAAACTCTTTCGTATCGGTCGCGCTGTAAACGATTTCTAGGAACCACCTTAGTGGACACCGTGAAACACTAACCATCAACTACTCTGTTACGGGAGAAGTCGTTGATTTTCGCCACGCGAGAACTTCCCGCGTCTTAGATTTCCCACGTGCTACTCTTTACCTCGGCTTCTCGATCTTCGAATAGCATTCCAAGAACGATAGCCACCTTGCAGCGTTTCTATCCTGATTAGCTTGATTCTCGCGCCAGACGCGTCGCAACGAGGAAGGAAAATAACTACGAAGCACGGGGTTGTTTCTCTAGAATCGCGAAATACGGAGCGTCGTGTAATCCGATTAAGCTAAACGATGCAACTCGGATTCTCGGTAGCGGCAAAGTTCTTCGAGTATTTACGCTACGATCAAAACGCTAATAATCGCCAGGTTGTCGCGGTAGTTGCGTTAATTTTCCCGCTTGCCGTATAAATAACTCGCTTTATTAATCTCGTCGCGCGGGCGAAGACGACGCAGTCGGCGGATTCTTCGACTCGTAAATATTTAACAGAGGCTAAATAATCGTTTGCGATTAATTATTCGTTGACTAATTCCGTTCGGAAGATAAACGTTTCCTGCGTTTGCCGAAGCAGGTTTCTTCGAACTATGCGTTTAATTAATCCGTCTAATAATTCATTCGCTATCGGAGTTATCGCGCTATTCGACTTACGAAGGCTGGTTAAAGGATGGTTTAATTAAACGAATTAGGAATACCTTTGTGCAAAACGATAATTCTGCGCGAATTTATCCGACGAAGACAAGAGTTAACGATGGAAAAGTTGAAACGATCGGGAAGAAACAAGCAGAAGTACTTACCGAGAATTCGAGTTCCTTGGGCAACGTCAAGTACATCCTCGCTACGTGAAATTTCAACGCATAGGGCGGAGTATCGTCGAGTTCCTGGCGAATACTTCCTCTGGTGGCATTTAGCTCTTTGCAGAGGGTGCTCGAACCAAGCCAGAAACCGTTCCCGAAATGGAACTGCGACGAGTAACGGCCACTGGCGTCCGACACTGCGAAGAAAGGAGCACGTTGAGGAATCAAACGCGATAAAGAAAGCGTTCTTCCGGAAAAGAGAGGAAGATAACCGCACGTCGCAAACACCGTCGTTTCTCTGCAATGAATCTCCGTCTCGAATAGGTTTACGAATTGCCTGCTGAAAGATAAGATTTCAAAGTTGAAAGAACAATAGCGACGAAGAGATTTCAAAAGGTTTTTTCTATCGTGAAAAGACGTGCCGCGCCGAGAGAAGATCCTTTTCCTTCTCCTCTGTTTTCATTGTTTTTGCTCGAGACTCGCGCGAAAAGCTCGGCATTCTAGTTTCCGACGGTTGGATTATACGACCACGCCTGAAAGGTTCATTGTCAGTTACGTAAAGCCAGATTGTGACCGCAGTAGCGGAGAAAGTACAGTCGACTGCCATTACGAGAAAACACGACTCACTGGCGACAACGCGTATTTAAGCGGACGTAATTTCGCGTGAATCTTGGATCGTCGAGATATTAGAGGTAAACGATAAAATCGACCAGATGGAATCTCGCGTGCAACAGTTGGGATGCTTCTCGAGAAAAGAATTCTAGCAAGCGGGAATCGCGTTCGACGCTTTTCTTCCAATTTTCTAATGTTAGCTACGTTCGAATTGACAATTAGAATGGCTTTTACAGAACTTTGTTCTTTCTATATTCGCGTAATAAATAAAATTCTCATAAAACCGTTCAAATATTTGACTAGAAACTACATTCGTATTTACTACGTGTATATTTACTAGGCTCTTTTTCAGCAAGCTATTCAATTATACTTTGTTCGTCGAGTGCACAGACGATTAACAGTTTGCGTCGGAAAAAGGAGGATCGGTGAACAGACTCGAGCTTTCGAAACACTGCGGTGACGGGTCGTGTCGGTTTGTTTCGACGTACGAGCAAAGTAGTCTGCGACATTATCGTCCGACGTAACAGCTTGTGTGCGTTCAATGAGAATTTGTCAAAGGAGTAATTTCTGGAAAATCAGCGTTCACCGGTTACTCCTCGAGGGCTACGTTCGCTCACCGAGTTCGAAACGAGTGTTCCATAATTTCTTAGCGTCGTTGCGAGCTTTTAACCGTTCCCTGTATCTACGCGACTACGTTAAAATCCAATTTTTAACTGGAGCGTCGAAATACGTACAATACGCGCATAACGCGTGTGTTTCATAAGGCTCGTTGACTCCCTGAATCCCCTCGTACGAGCTACGAGTTTGTTAATTTTTAATATCGATATTTTTCACGATATTGTCAAATGTCAAACGTAGAACTCGTACGATATAGTACCTGCCTTTTATACGTTCGATGGGGCACCGCCTACGCGCGATATTTTGCGCGTTCGAAACAGATAGAAATTATCAGTATGAACGAAGTATTTGGGATATCATTACGTCGGTCGGAAATCATCGTATTTTATTTGTTTACAACTTCGGCGATGTCTGTGCACCGTAGGCAGATAAAATTGCTGCGTATTTGAATCGAAATATAAATAATAAAGCGATGGTGCAATATTGTTGGAGAATCGTTCGATGAATTATTCCGTAATAGAGAGAATCTCTCGAACGCAGCATGTTGTACGAATATCTGATAAAAGGAACTTGCAATAGGAACGATCTTCGCAGTCTTTTTTAGACGCTTTATACAATTTTTCGAGCTTAGAAAAAGTATTTAATATTGCGAGTCAAATCGTAAAGCCATTGAAAGAGTATTTCGACGACAAACAAAGCAACAAAAAAATGAAAAATGAAAAATGATATAACAAATAAATAGGTGCATAAATATAACGAATATAATAAGTATAATAAAATAAAAAATATAATAATATCAAAAATGAAAAATTTAACAGTAGAGAGATAAATGAATCGCTACGCGAATAAATGGAAAAGAATAACAGAAATCTTAATAAAATCCGAATTATTTCTCTCCTTCTGAAGAACGAAAAACGACAGATCAGCTTAGTAGATTAAAAGCACAAAACTCGTAAGTCGTTGGAACAGATTCGTTGGTTGAATCAGTGGCGATAAAAAAAAAAATATAGCGATCGTATGGTCATGCAGCGGATCTCTCGTGTTTCTCTGTTCCTCCACGACCAGCATGTCGCAATGAATGCGACGTATCTCTGTGGAAAGGGGTCGAACAGTGTCAGAGAGCGTTTACGTCGCGTTGGAAAGTGAATCTGCCTGTACGAGTGCGAGAAAGATAACGTCGTATGCGGTTTGTCGGCTATCGAATCGGCGCGTATATTCGCGTTGCAGTTTGACCGACCGTTTCGCCATAATCCGATCTTTGCTTATTGCCGGAAGCAATCGCGAATTTGGAAAATCATGCGATTCTATTGGATTCGCGCAATCCAGAGCACCGATCGGTTCGTCGAATGATCCTTCGCGCGTCTTTCTCTCTTTCTACCAACCAGTAACGATCGCACGACCTCCATCGTGATGGAATTTGGACTTCGAGATAGAAAAGTAGCATTTTCAGACCGTTTTAAGACGAATCCTATCGTTTTAAGATCTCTGTATCGATGTCCAAAGCGAAGTAACGGTCGTCGAAAAAAATGCGTCTGATCGTAAATTAGGAACCTTCGGATTGAAAATCGCCATAAATTCTGCCAATTCTAGCATTCGTCGAGGAATATTCAAAGATACGAGCGACGATTCGGCGATCGTGCGTTAAGCGCGTTTGACAAGGAACCGCGATGATCGAGATAAGCGATCGTTGCGAAAAGACCGGTGTACGGAATTCACGCATAAATCAAATTATATAAAGAGTTAGCTGTTCCGTGGTATAGAAAGCAAATCTATTCGTAATGCACGTTATACCGTTATCGGGCGAATGCCACGGTTTATGGAAATAAATCAATTACGTAATGCTGGACGGCGTCGAGTGGCATTAATCCAGCGAAACACAAACTTTCGATTCACCCGATTCAGAGTCACTCTGGATCAGAATTAATGGAAAGGGAATATTTCGAATTTCAAACTTTCTTCGACGAGTTTGCCAGTGATCGAAACGACCACCCAGCCTGACGTTGGCTTCGTGACACGGCAGAAGCGGGAAACTTCACAACTACGAGGTGTTGGTTCGCTTCCATTGCGATTTACGATAATAACTTCGCGTTCCTAGCTCGAGACCTAAATTTCGCAGTAGCTTGGCTTGGAACATCGTAATAGACTGCCCATTCAACTTGGCTTTTTGCATCGTCCCGAGCCGCAACAATTCTCCCATTGCTTTATCCACGGTGGAATAAGGTCGAAAATTCGTTTAACGATAAAGCGTTCGTTCCGGTGCTATTAGAGGAACGTGACAAAAGCCTTGCGAAAATCAAGCGGTAAATTGCTGTTTCACATCGTAGTAACGCCGATTTAGCAATCGGCTCTGCCAACGACACGCCGCTCGCAAACACAGCGAAACACGACTTTCTCTGAACGCTCGTTATTAATTGCGGGCAACGTGCGAGTACCAAAGTATCGGTTCCAGAAATGTTCGACACATACTAAAACGCAAACGTTGCAACGTCGCGAGTGCGATTGTTAATCGCGTGACACGACGGTGGATCTGCGCGAGGCGGGAAACGACCCGAGCGTTGGCCTGCTGCTTTCTCGATCGTTTACCGATCGTTTTCGAGCGAGCTTGTTCTACTCACTCTTGGCGGCCCATAGCTTTCCATCCTTCAGAGACTTCAGAAACAATTCTAGTTCGTTCCTGCAGTCGTGGCCGAGTTTACCAGGTACTCTGGACCACTCGAGGGGATCGTAAAGATCCACCAGCCATTGAATACTGTTCGCCGTCTTCTGCAACTTTTCTTTCATAAAATCGATATCCAGATCTTCGTGTTCCTCTTGCTTCTCGTCGAACAACTTCAGATACTTCTTCCAATCAAGTTCCGGATTGTTTTTGCTGAATTCGATTAACGGGCCGCGCCTATCTTTCGACGTCTGCTTCTCCGCCTCGTAATCGGTGCTGTTCAAATTTGTCACCCTGGCCGTTATCGACGACGCGTCTTGAGGCCTGCCGATTCGCAGAATGTTGGAATCGTTTCTCGAAACTGGACCCGCGTCCACGACGCAGTTCAGCACGAATAAAAAGCAGCCAAAGTAAAGCGACATTTTTCGGATTTTACGAAACGGTCCGACCGTCTCGTATTTTGTATCGCGTTTTCCGATATTGATCGACGCTGCGCTTCTCTCTCGGTTCCTAAACATGTCGTCGGTTTCTTTCGTCGAAATCTCCAGACGTCATATTAAATTAGAACAGCGACTGAACTTGCCTCGATGGGCAATTTTCGTTTCTCGATTGCTCAGCTGTTCAAATCATCGAGCATGTTTAAGGACGCGGAAGGTCGATCGTGACAGGAATGCAACCGGGTTATCCCAGACAGTTTACGATCGTAGAACGAGACTCACTTTCGTTTCTCACTAACCACCGGTTCGACTCTATTTCCAATGCGAATTACCGCTTAGCGTAACAACGATCCAGTAACGACACGAAAATAAATCGCACGAATAGAGCCCGGATTCGCTTATTCCCTCTCGAGATATTGGACACGAGTGAAAAAATCGAGTCTCCGGGGGGCAAAGTTAGACGCACACACGAGACTAAGGATCACGCACTGAATGAAGCGAATCGAGTTAGCAGTCACGTTTACCTGCCGACTTGGGGCCCCCCTTTCTCTTCGCGATATACTTTACCGTGGTAAATACATTTCCTTCTTCGGCCCTCCGACAACGGTCGCCGACGAGTGGCGTTCCGTCTCTTTCGAAAAAGACCCCTTCGGAAATCCCGACGATCCTGCTATCAGGATTCTCTCTGCATTTAGGAAATCCTTTCGCCTTCTTCTTCGTTTCGTGGCTCGATTCGTTCAACTTTACGATCCCACTTTTCCATACGAAACACTACTTTCATTCTGTAAAAAATTATACTTGGTAGTTGTGCTGGGTATGAACGCTACTCGATGCAATTATCAAACAAATTACAAGACTTTTACACAGGTCTTTGCAGCATATGGAAACACCATAATTCATGGATACTTTGCGCGAACGTAAACCGTTCTTTCGTTCGTTAACGGTGTTTGGAGAAAGCGGTGAATATTACGTTGATTACTCGAGTTATAGTTTCTAGAGTGGCTCGTTACTATCGCCTCGGCGAACTAACGCTTACCATTAGAATGCACGTTTCTTTTTTCCCCGTCTGTCATTCTTTCGTCCAAACGCTTATTACTTTCGCAAGGTCGAACGTACATCTTCTTTAGAAATTTACATATAAAGAAGTTCGTGGCTCGTAAATCTTCACATTTGCGTCGTAGTGAATCGTATCGTAGGAATATGGGAAAGATGTTAGAGTATTTCGTCACTGGCGAAGTCACTTTTTCGAATCCATGTAAAGATTAAAATACTACGTATGATAAGATAGGAAGATAGAAAAGGCAGGACAGAAAAAAGGGGCAGGCTTTTCGCTGCAACGGCGGCCTTCCTTCGATCAGCGACTTCCTTCTTCTATCGTAGAATATTCGGCGTAAAAACACGCAACTTCTGCGAAAAAAAAGCGAGATGCGGAGCCGGTGACAAATTTTTGCGAAAACCTCGTAATGTCTAAGATAAAGGCAAAGAAAGAGAAGCGCGCAAATTTGCGCGAGAGTTCATCGAATCAGCGAGCCATCTGTTTTCTTTCGACTTTTGCGCGAAGTGCTCGGATTAAATCCTACGAGTGCCTGAAAGAGAAGCGTTTAAACGAAGTTCACGTTTCTAACTTTTAGATCTTCTTGGTGAAATTGCATCTTCCACTTGCGCCCAAAGCCCGAGACGCGGCAAAGGGTTTGATGAAATCTTGTTCCGCGATAATAGAGAAGCTTCTGGTTGCGTAGCTCCTCGAAATAAGATTTAACAAACGAGGTTTTAAAAGAAACTTTCATCCAAAGTGAAACTGCTTCTTCGTTCCCTCGAAATATTTGCGTTTTCATCGAGTAGCTTGCCAAGTGCCTCGTCATTGTCAACCTCGCGTACAAATCGGGACATCGCGAGACCCTTCGATCGCGTTCTTCAACGTTCGTTAGGTCATCCAGGACACGGCTGTTGCATATTTTCACTTTTATTTGACATTTACGTAACGCTAGCGCCAGTAAAACCGCCGCGAAAGACTTTCGACCGCGGCTCTCACTCGTCAGCTCGATTCTCGTTCGCGTTACGAAGCTTCCAAGGTTTCTCCAAATTTCTCGATCGCTCCCTCTTCCGACGATTTCCCGGAATCATCGGGGTTCGGTTGGTTCCACGGCACGGAAACTGCCTCTCGAGGAGATCCGGTTGTCTGTTACGCAACGGAGCTTTCTACGCTCTCGGTAACGACTCGCAACCGGTCCCCTCGTAGGAAGCGGGAGCTGAATCTCGGAGCCGCCGCTTTAGCGACTTGGAACCGGCGAGAAAGCAATTTACCATCGATTCGAATTCATGTTATTGCTACGTGGGGCAACGCCGCTACCCGCGACTATTGCAACAATCGCTCTTTTTTTTTTTAAAGTCGATTAACCTTCGACGATCTCGATCGAGCAGTTTTGCAAAATTGGATTCCCGCCAATTGGAATTTAGACTACAGCGTTTAGCGATGTACAAAGTTTTAGAAAGCATTGCAAAATAGATGGGTTTGTACGCGAGAGGCATCGGAACAAACGGAACGCGTTTGAGTAACACGAGCTCGTGTATCGAATGATATTTTGGCGTGGTATTTTTCTGGCGAACTTTTTTATTCAGACAGAAACGATGTCCGACGTGAAAAGCGTGAAAAGTGAAAAATCGCGCGCGAGCAACGGTAAATATTTCGCTGGAGTGTCGTATGGCGCGTAAGATATTTTTTGGCAAATATTGCATTTACGTACATTAAGTATGTAAAAAGAAGAATATCAAACATCTTCTCGACGAGAGTTTCATTAAAAAGCAAATATTAAGAAAACGTACGAAAGGACTGATTAGTAGACAATACACATAAAAGACGCGTGGATGTAATTTCGTTTGCAAATACCATGTATCGCGGAAGTGAAAGGCCCAAGTATTGGTAGAAAATTCTATTACTATTTCCAAGTGTGTTTTTGCATACCGTGAATTTATCTCACGCATAAATTCAGGTAGCGAACTACGTTTTCTGCAGATGGTACTTTGTGCCGTTCTGAAATATCGATCGTGTGAAAAGTTATAGACGCAAACGATATTCGCGCAAACAAGATACGTACGTAAATTTTCAAATTAAAATTTTCGGATTTATACACATTTAGTTCGAGTCCAGGCTGCTAGTTTGTAATCTTATCATTCCTATATTCGTCGTAGGAAATCGTAGGGGGCGTAAGAAACATTCTGATTTTTTCCAGTCGATGATCTTATCGTGTTCTCCATCGGTAACGTCGGTGCCATCGCTACAATGGTAAAAAGAATCGAGCCTTCGAGCAATAGAAAAATGTAGACACGGGCAGATAATATTATTTTATCACAAAGTTTAATTTGTAGCTTGCAATCGTCTCGAAACTAAATTCCATTTTGCGATTAGATTTTTTTCTTATATCTATCAAATTCCAAATATAAAAGCATTCTGTACAATTTCTGATGCATTTTGAAAACGTTGCATCGAGTCAGGATGGCCGAGCGGTCTAAGGCGCTGCGTTCAGGTCGCAGTCCACTCTGTGGGCGTGGGTTCGAATCCCACTTCTGACAAGTTTCTTTTTTTCTTTCCACCTCGACGTTTCCATCAAATCATTATTCACTACAGATATCATCAACCTCTTCTATTTTAAACTGCGTTACGAAACAAATTACGATATCGTATATTTTTTAATCTCTTCAATCCACGTAAGAATCGCTGCACGTTCGATGAAACGAAAGCTAAATGAGAAAAGAAAACAAACCGATGAATGGTCGCTGTCGAAGTGCAAAAGATCTTATCGCGTGCAAATATTATCGCGTTACCAGTTAAAGTATCGTGCTTTGAATCTCATGTATTTACGATTTTAATGTTTACGATAACGAGTAGCGACGAAGATAACTGTTTCACGGCGCAAACAGTTAAACAAGCAGGGAAGAGGAGAAAATCGAGAGAGGAAGTACTATTCACCGTTTGATCGATGACGTGCAAACTCGAATCGCAACGTCGCGAATTTGTAGCATCGTCGCGGTCTTCGGTACAAGAGAAATACGAGGATACTGGCAAATTCTTAAGCGCAATCCACGTTGCACGACCGATACGAGCAAACGAGTCATTGACTGGCACGGTCGTAACATTCGAGCCACCGAAAGAGACAAAGACGAGAAGGAAGCGAGCCTGGTCTCTGGTTTTGTTCGTAGATATCGAGAATTGCTTGTGCGATTCCATTTGCACACAAAGCGTAGAAAATATGGCGCCATTTCGAAAAGGAAATCGCGACACGTTCGACTCACTGGTTTACGCGTGTCGATTAATTTTGATAGAGAGATCGCAGTTCCCATTTATTCGTTTATTCGTCGATCCTTGGCTTACGTAACAGTTACAATTATAGAACACGATCGTGAGTAGATAAAATGCAGAAGAGATTCCGCACAAAGGTAACATGGGAACAGAAAACGTTAATTGATCCATCGAACTCACTTATGTTAACGATGTTACGCGAATGGAATGAAATTCGTCGTAAAGATTTCGGCGATAATCTTGAAATGAAAGGAATCTCGTTTTAAAGCAGTCGAGGACGCGTGTAGGTTGAAACGCGATAAATTTTCAGTTTCCATGACTACGCTATTAGAGACACTTTATTATAGACGATACCACGATATCGCCAGAGCGATCTAAATCGTTGCATTTCTATTGCGATTTGACCGGCGTTCTCTCGACCCCGTGGATATTTTTTCGTAACGTCGAACGTACGATCACCAAGCGGGACGACAGACGACATATGGTCGTACACATTCGTGAAAGTTACATCGCGGAGCCCGCATTGCGCGTCTCGTGGAAACTCGTTACACCAGGCTCCGTATAAACAACTGGATTTGTAGCTAACGACGCTCGGCACCGCGATGCAGCTCGGCGATTAAGATTGATGCGCCGTGTTTCTATGCACGGATTGTTTACACGCTGCAGGCGCATGATTTCGCAGGTTTCGCACCATCTGGCGCACAAGTAGCGGTGTACCGTCGCGACGAGCTTCCTCCCGCGACCGCGAGGACCCACTTTCCAGATATCGCAAATACACGTTCAACGAAGCATCGATAAACGATGTCCGGTCGCCTAATTGCCCGTAATCGCTTGGAAATCCCGAAAATGTTTCCCCGCTCCTATATGCTAATACCGAGAGCTATCATCGGGAAATACAACGATTACGAGCGATCCGGTAACAGATCGAAACCGAAATACCATTAAACGTTACATCGACGCGTAAGTTGCGCTTAGGCGAACGGTTCGCGGTCCGCTTCTTGGCGCATCGTTCAAGGAGAAGCGTGTTTTACGCGTCAAACGCCTACGACGTCGTTCCGATGAATAGAACGTTGGAACAATCGATATACAGGTGTTTGTAAGTGTATGGATTTTAGCTTAACGCGAACATGGTAGCTGAAAATTCTTTGGAATTGACCATGACCCGTTTTGCTACTCG